CACGGGTTTATGCCGGTCCACTGAAAATAAATAAACCGAGCTGTACACAATTCTTTATGCGTGATCTTACCAAATGGTCTCAAACTGAACTTCTGGTAGCTGAGCTAGTCATTCAGCTCGCGAAATAAAATATTTTCAAACAGCTTCCTTGAAAAGCAAAATTCTAAACTACATTTTTCTAGAAAAAATTAACCTTTTGTCGGATCCTATTCTATTCAACACTTAAAAATCTAAAAACAAAAAGCGAGCATTCTTGCTCCACCCAACCCAATTTTCAACTTTTGAACTTGTGTAGTAAAGATGCTAGCATCTAAGCCAGTAAATTCTCAACGTTTTACACGTGCGGCTCTGCATGTTAACAAATTCCTAATAGGAACACATACGGTTCTAAGCATTATTAACAAAAAAAATTTTTTTACTTGTCCTAACGAAATACAACTTCTAGGAATCATAAAAATTCCAGAAACTGTTCCCTAGCGAAGGTGAGAGTCAGCAACGGCCCATGTTTTTACACTGCGCTGACAAGAGAAAACTCCAAAGCTCCGTCTAAAACTCCGTAGCTAATCAAACACTAACAATGAAAACTTACCCCATCATTATTTCTTTCATTCAGGCCAATTCCTTTTCTCTCCAAGTACTGCAAAAGCTCCAGGTGCCCGCTACAAGCAGCGAGATGCATCGCTGTATTCTGAAAAAACCACATTACTTTTTTACCTTCTCATCGGAAATGCAGCATATTTTTACTTTGTTATTCTCTTCCTTCCTACACTAACATGGTTTTCTTAAAGCAGTTCTTCCTAAGCTGTATTGTCACCACGCTCATGAAGACGTCTTCAGAGTTTCCATTCAAGAATAATAAACAGAAGATCAAATTAAAGAAACATGTAGGCGATTTACGCAATTGTACGATACTCCGTATATCAAAAAACCTTAAAAGAAATTGCCGTTGCTTGACCAGATTATTCTGCCTAATAGAATACCATCATGAAATTGAATCGGAGATCAGGTTTTTCAGAATTAGGCAACTGTTTCATTGGGAGGATCTTATAGTGTGAAATTCGAGTTAAAAAGATTGGATGAGACAAAACAAATAGTTATCCTCTGGGCAAGACGGCTTTCTAGTGTAGTAACCATCGAAACGCAATTTCATTGTTTTGATTATTGCAAGCTTTTGAAATACCTAACTGTGCAGTTTTTGCTTTTTGAGGCTCTGTAATTCGAAAATTTTGTAAGAGTAGTACATGTGCAAACGTAGATGCGTGAGATTAACAGAAAGATTCCTTGAGTTTTTTGACGAAATCGAACTTCTAGAAATTATAAAAATTATAGAAACTGCTCGCTGAGAGCGGTGAAAGTCATCAGTAGCAGTATTGGTTCATGTTTCTACAGTGCGGTAAGAACAGAAAAGTTTGGGGATTTGT